TGTTTACATCATCCAAGTTTTAGCTTCCTACCCCAGCGCAAAGAGAGGTCCAAGCGTTTTCTTCATTCCCGCCATGCGGTTCTTGCTGTTGCTCCTCCTGCCAGAGGCATATGCCTTTGTGGGGCTAACACCTTCGCCCAGGCTGGAAGACAAAAGTGGGCACAGAGCTTCAGAGAACTGAGCTTTGGCCGCCACTGTTTGTTGCACCTGCTGGTTAGCCACTTGGACTTGGCCGGGTTTGCCCCACTTAGGCTTACTGTACTTATACGTTGCAACCTAGGGTGCCGACAAAGTGTTGCTAACTTGTCCAAACGCCCAAATTGGGAATCGCCTTGACCATTTTGTGTCTCCTTTCTTTCCCTTTCTCCCTTCTCACCTGTTCAAGTTGGTATGACGATCAAGATTGGGTTTGGCTTGCCACTTTCTGTGAGTTGTTGCGGACAAAAGCTGACTCTGTAGATACCTGAGCCGGTGTTTTTGATGGCACCAGCACTAGCGGTCAAGTTTCCAAAAGGCCCTGGCCCAGTAAGGTGTTGAGCCGAAAAAGGGGGAAATTAAACACTTAGAAAGGCGTTAAGCCAGCAACCCCTGATCAGTTTTGGCGATTCATGAGGTCACGCGCCTGCAAACAAGTGGCTGAACGTTCCTTGTTTACTTGTGACTTCCTTCAGTGTTCGTGTACAACTTGTTTACACATCTTTGACTGGCCTTTTTTCCCGCATCTATTCACTTCATTGTCCTGGCCTTTTGAAGTCTTGTCGGCTCAAGCAAGCGACCGAACCCTACCATGAAGCGATGGCTGCGTGACATCGCGTTCACCTCTGTCTTTCTGTGCCGTGCTGAGCATGTGGAGGAGTTGGAACTGGACCTGGAGCTTTTGCAGCAGAGGACTGTCCTAAGCCATGCAGGTGTTGTTTCTTCCCGAAAGGTTATTGTAAGCGCTTCGCGTTTTGTGTTTGTCTCTACATGGCTTGAAGGGCTACGGTCTATCGGTATATGTTAAGCCTTGCCTGTAGCAGTAACTCTTTACCACCAAGTTACCTCAAATTTCACCCCAATTTTGTGGGTTATTCCCCCAAGTTTGTCCAATTTTGTTGGTTATTTACCCCCAATTTTGTTGGTTATTTACCCCCAATTTTGTCGGTAATTTACCCCCAATTTTGTGGGTTGTTTACCCCCAATCGTGTGGGTAATAAACCCCCATTTTTGTGGGTAATGTACCCCAATTTGTGGGTAATTTACCCCCAATTTTCAGGTAATTTACCCCAAGTTTGGGACTCGTTATTAACCCCCAATTTTGGAAATTTGGGGGTTAATAACGAGTCCAATGATTGGGGGGTAAATCTTCGTATACCGTTGGGAAACCTGGGATTTACCCCCAATTTTTGGACTCGTTATTTACCCCCAATTTCCAAAATTGGGGGTTAATAACGAGTCCCAAACTTGGGGTAAATTACCCACAAATTGGGGTAAATTACCCACAAAATTTGAGGTAAATAACCAACAAAATTGGGGGTAAATAACCCACACAATTGGGGGTAAATAACCAACAAAATTGGGGGTAAATAAGCAACAAAATTGGGGGTAAATAACCCACAAAATTGGGGGTGAACGTTCCGCAAAATTAGGGTAAATGTTGCCCAGTCGGTAAGCCTGTACAGCCCCTCCTTGCCTGCGTAAAGAAGGCATGCAATTTATTGATAGAGGCAAGCCCTAAGGTATATGTTAAGAAAACCGCTTGTTTTGACCAGGGTCTGGAATATTTTCTTCAACGTTCCAGTTTTGCGATCTTGTCTCCCGTTTTGAGACAGACGGGCTTCTCCGCTGGTGAGCCAAGACAAAAGAAGTTCCTCCTTTAAGGTGCCGTTGGATTTGATCCTTTAAGGTGGAAAGAGGAATGCAAAAGCACGCCGCAGCCCCAAAAGCACGCCGCAGCCCCAAACGCCCCATGCGGGCTGATTCACTTTGAGACACAGGTTTGAGCACCTGGTGGATAGCTCAAGACTCAAGAATATCTAGTCCTGGCAAGCCACTGGTGAAATCAACCACGAGTTAGGTTTCTGCAATCAAACGGGACGCTTTGGACACCGCCATTCTCTGTGATTCCAAGGGAGCTCTGCTGAAAATGGCAAAATCATAATGGGCCACTTCGGTATCACAGAAATGTGCACTAATTACAAGGGCCCGAATAATTTGACGGGGGATTGTGGGGGTACTTTAAAACCAAATCAAGTCATGATCATTGGAGGATTATGCGTGTATTTATTTGGTCCCATTATGTTACTGTCCACATCCATGTCCAGACGTGGATCGCCTGGGGATGGTTGACCCCCTTGTTAAAGGCCTATCCAGCTGGGCAGTCCATGGAACTCCCTTCCCCAGCTGCTTTGTCAGGATGGTAGTGCAGCCGTCGAAGAAGGCTTTGCCAATGCACCTTGCTCCAATGGCTTGTCTTTGCTACGGCTCTTCTTGCTCCAACGAGTCAAGCTGGCTTTGTCTCAAGGGGCAACCAAAATTGGTGGATTTCCCCTCAGTTTTCTTTAGCGCAGGAGCACACTTAAGCACTACACTCCTTGTTTTCTTGACCAGACCTGTTGCCGGACATGAAAGGCGCCACATGTTTAGTGTGTTTGAAGCCTACCCTGTCCAGAATGCACAACCGAATGGTTTGCCATCATCCCAGAAAAGACATGGAAGCGGGGCATCGTACCCCCGGCGCATGGGCATGCTGGACGCCTGACGCCCTGGTTTTTGGCAGCCGCTGACCTGTTGGGGTTTTCCCGCAGATTTGTGTGGCTTCGGGCCCAGGTACTGGGTCCACGTCCCCAAAACCGGGACCTCTTTCGCGAACGTTCTGATCCACCAGCCCGGCTTCTGTCAGGTAGACAAGGACTTCTTGCTCGATGAGGAACACATGGGGGAATGTATTTTGGCAGACTTCATTGATAAGCTGTGCTGGGACGATTGTGACCCTCAGCATCTACAATGCTCAGAGCATGTACATGAATGCTTAGGCCAGGGTCAGGTAAACAACCAGACACATGGCCCCTTCGGCAAACCAAAAGTAGGTTGTTTCGACTGTTGGTGGTTTGAACTCTGGTTCAAACCAGACAGCGATCGCCCAACCCTGGCTTGGGACCCCTGAAGGCAGTTGGCTTTCGCTTGATTTCCATTCAACCCCCAACCGAATGCTGCTTTTGTCCCCAAGAACCGACCACGGGGAATTTTCTCTTGAGTTCAAGTTCAATCGCCCGCCCCTGGCTCTGGCACCCAGTTTTCCAAAGCCAACCTTGTGACCTTTTCGTTTTCAAAGTGGATCCAAGTTTTAATCAAGGTTCCAACAGGTTGACCTGTCATTTTGGTTAGCCTCTTAGTTTTGGACTAAATTCGCGGATTTCAGAACAACATGTATCTTTGTGTGTGTGTGTGTGTGTGTGTGTGTGTGTCTGTGTGTGTGTGTGTGGGTGCGTGCGTGCGTGCGTGCGTGCGTGCGTGCGTGCGTGCGTGCGTGCGTGCGTGCGTGCGTGCGTGCGTGCGTGCGTGCGTGCGTGCGTGCGTGCGTGCGTGCGGGCGTGCGTGCGTGCGTGCGTGCGTGCGTGCGTGCGTGCGTGCGTGCGTGCGTGCGTGCGTGCGTGCGTGCGTGCGTGCGTGCGTGCGTGCGTGCGTGCGTGCGTGCGTGCGTGCGTGCGTGCGTGCGTGCGTGCGTGGCGTGCGTGCGTGCGTGCGTGCGTGCGTGCGTGCGTGCGTGCGTGCGTGCGTGCGTGCGTGCGTGCGTGCGTGCGTGCGTGCGTGCGTGCGTTTGCGTGCTCGCGTGGGGGGGGGCGGGGGGGGTTTGGCGGTTTTTTTTTTTTGCGTGCGTGCGTGCGTGCGTGCGTGCGTGCGTGCGTGGTGTGTGGTGTGTGGTGTGTGGTGTGTGGTGTGTGGTGTGTGGTGTGTGGTGTGTGGTGTGTGGTGTGTGGTGTGTGGTGTGTGTGGGTGTGTGTGTGTGTGTGTGTGTGTGTGTGTGTGTGTGTGTGTGTGTGTGTTTGTTTGTTTGTTTGTTTGTTTGTTTGTTTGTTTGTGTTTGTGGGTGTTCTGGTTGGAACCTTGTTGATGCGGCTTTAAAGGGAAACCAACAGAAGACGCACTATTCTGTGTGGGGCTCCACCGTTTTCCCACACACACGTGTAACAAACGCATGTTTGGCCGGGTTTCACACCCCCCCCTTCCCTACCTGCCAACAAAACAAACAAACGTACGTTTGGCCTGGGGGCAGGAAAATCGTATGAATCACATTTTGCGGTTCCTTCCTTACTTTTCTTGCTGGTTCTCAGAGACTAAGGGAATGACCGCCCTCTCCATTTTTTAGCTATTTCCTTTCGGGAATCCCCAAAACCGCTTCATTCCAAAGCCGGTTTCGGGTCAGTCCCGAAATCCGAAAATTCCGTTTTCCTCCCGCGCGCCAGGCACCAAGTTCTTCGAGGTCGAGGGCCGCATGGTGGGCATGTTTCGCCAGCCCGAGCAGCGTCTCCTCTCCATGTACTACGCACCTCGATCCACGAGCAAGGGGTGGCCGGTTCTTGGGCTGGACCCCCCCCAGTTTAAAAACAGGTGGTCTTCGAAAAAAAAAAAAAAGAGAAAAGAAATGGAAGCCCCTCGAAAATAGACAGACCAACCTTGAGTTGTGAGTTCTTGGGTATTTTTTTTCAGGGGTCTCCTCCAAAACTTAGACATGAAACAACATTTGAACAGAGGACTTCTTTGTACCGCAAGCGCGGGTCAAGTTTGGGTTTGGGTTTTGTTGGGTACCCGTTTCAGCTTTGGAGGGAAGCCAAACGGAACACCGCCGCGGGGCGCGGGGCGTGGGGTCGACTATCTATTTTGACATCCTTTGGCAGGGACCCAAAACGGCTTCTCTGGGTCTCTGGAATCAACGGCCAAAACTAACATTTTGTGTCCTGGGTTTTGAAGAATGACGTATCCCAGTTGTGTGGACTTACTTACGTGATGTTTGGATTGCGGAGGTTGCACGTTTGTTTTTCCTCTCTTTTTTTTGTGGGGGGGGGGGGAAGATCTCGTTCTCCAAGAGTTTATATATACATATATATATATATATACATATTTATACATGTACACATTTTTCTGCGATCTGCGCTCCAAGGACGAGCAGCACAACTTCTTCAATTACTCTTTTTGTGGAGAGAGGTCTCAACCAAATCCACCACTGTCAGTCTATAAAGAGATGGCTGCAGGGATGGCCACCCTCATGCTGACGGTTGACTGTGATTTGGTCGAGCACCAGTTTTACAAGTTTCCTCCGTGCACACGCAGTATGGCGGAGGAGGCCGTGAGGGTTGAGCGTTTCACACCCGTGAGTTTTCACCATGAGATTGTGTTGGCTTCCCCAAGACAGTGCTAGCTTACACGGTTGAATTAAAAAGACCGTACTAGCATGGCCAATCGACGGAAGTGAGTAAAGGTGCCCTTGTGGGGTCCAAACCCTTATCCACCTCCGTTGTTGGGTCAAGCAAATCAGTTGGATGACTCAACTTAGGGGGAAATCCCTTATTCGCTACTGAGAGGCAAAGTCATTTTTTGCGACCTAAAGACCCAAGAACCTTATGTGGGGTCTTTGGGGGTCCTCCAAACAAATAGGTATGCGTCAAAATAGGGGACCCCATTTAAATGGCTTCAAGCCTTAAAACCAAAAGCCGGCCACCTCAACTCGGTCCAAGGGGCCAACTTCCCCCCCCCCCGTCAGGCCGTCCGTCGGGTCTCCGGGTTTGCCTTTGTGGGCATCACGGAGGAGCGGGAAATCACCGATCAAGTCGTGGTTGGATTGGTTGGATGGCCCATGTTTCTTTGGATGGACCCCCTTTTTGGGGGGATTCCCATGGCTGTGTATGTGTTTGGTTGTTTTTGGGGGAACCCCTTGTTGTTTGTGTTGTATTCTCTTTGCAGAAAGGAAGCCAAGCCACAGGGTTGTCAATGGGCACAGAGTTGTACAGGGGAAAAAAAGAAGAAAGAAGCACGCGCAATCAGCAGATGTACCGCAGATTTCAACACCAACCCACCTTGGCGCCGAGTAAGTTGTTATTCGGTCGCCCGAGGAGTGGGACCTCTCGGTGTGTCTCTTCCACGCCATGTTCGGCGGCAGTTGCCACGCCTCGGAGTTCGAAAATGTGAGGCCGGGCTCCAAGGCGACGGAGAACGGTGGCTCGGTAGGGTGCAGGTGGCAAAATATGGGTCTGTTTTTTTTGGGGGTACCCCCTTTTTTGGTTGGTTTAAAGGGAAACTAAAAGGAAACCCACCTTTTTGGGGGTCGACCAAAGAAGACACACCCATATGCGAGCTTCCAGAATGGATGGTTTCCTTCGGGTTTCCCTTTGAACCAACCTGAAAGCAGGTTAGCTGTATTTGGCTGGGATCTCCTCAGAAAGCATGTAAGGTTTTGAGCCTTGAGTCAATATGGAGCAGAACCAGACAATCTCCATTGGGCCAAGTTGGAAAGGGATGGGAATCGCGGAATCCCCACTACGTCACTCCCAACACCCAGTATCCAAGAGACAGCTGAGGTTACGACACCTCCGTGCTGGAAGGCTTTCGGGATGAGTTTGACGGCATGGTGTACCAGGAGGCCCTGAGAATATTCAGGCGGAACTTGCTCCAGCACAATGTGTCCCTGGCGTCATGCCAGCCCTGCTTTGCGGCCAAGAGCTGACTGTGCCAAGAGCCGCAGATCAGCCCAGGCTGCGTGTACCCGTGCAGCTTTGATCATTGTGCCAAACTTGGCCTAGGTTATGTTGTTTTCCACGCAGATGGCGTTTCCCGCGCAGATGGCGTTTCCGCAAAAAGGAAGTTTCAGACAACGGCCATATTGAGTTCGATGAGTTGTGCACCGCTTGTATATCAATACTACCAATGCAACTTCCGGATCTGTCTGACAATAATACTGTACTAGACTACTACTACTACTACTACTACTACTACTACTACTACTACTACTACTACTACTACGACTACGACTACTACTACTACTAAAACTGCTACTACTACTACTACTACTACTACTACTACTACTACTACTACTACTACTACTAGTACTACTACTACTACTACTACTACTACTACTACTACCACCACCACGACTACTACTGCTACTGCTACTGCTACTGCTACTGCTGCTACTACTACTACTACTACTACTACTACTACTGCCAATGATAACAACCATAATATTCAAAATAGCAATTGAATGATAATTATGATCATAATCATATTGGTAGTAGGTAATGACGGTTGGCCCCCCGAGTTGGGGAGTCCACTGCGAGGATGTATGACCTTGTCAGGGAGTGGTCCTGCAAATTCAGCAACGCAGGAGTTGTATTGCTTGCCATCGAAAAGGTGCTGTCAAGGACGCCCGTAGTTGGCTGTGAGGCCCCTTTCTTGTCCGAGACCTTTTTGGACTCGATGTTTCCCTTGGGCGCATATGAGAACCCTGATGAGGGGTGTGCAATCAGAAGGTTTTGCACTGGAAGGTTGGGCATATATCATATTGGTTTGACTGGGTAGAGTGGAGCTCTGTGGACTCTGCCCCTCCCGGGAGCTCCATGAAGCCCACTTCTGTTTTTCGTTGTGCGGATGCTGCGCAGCATTCCCCACATGTTGCGAACCAAGAGCAAAAGCAGCAAACACTAAAGCAGACCAGTCTTGGTGGGGTAGGTTGTGTTTTCTAGTGGCAATTGTGCAACATGTCCCAAATGTTGCGCCACATGCTGGCCAACATTTGGCAATCAAGCCAAGCGACAAAAAACAAAAGACAAACAACTCAACAACAAAAGCAACAAATAGACTTCAGCCATAGGATTGGTGCTTTGGCTTTTTGAAACAGTTGGCTGTGTGGGAATATTCAACACATCTGAAGCAACCCCATCTCCAACCACTCCCGGGGAAGAAACGGGGGTGACAATGGGACCTAGAACCTCTAGAACCTCTAGAGCCTGGAAACAGATCTTGGATTGTCAATGGGCCGGCCTTTGGTTTCCAGGCACCGGGCCTCGGGTGGGCCAGCAGACGCCGGGCACGCCGGGCACGCCGGGAACGCCGCGCACGCGGCGAACGGCACCTGGGGCTTTTGGCCCTTTGCGGCGGCTGGAGCTGGTGCTCTCTCCAGGAGAGCGAGCGTCACTGCCTAAGGGGAGCCATGCTGCGTGCAACATGATTAGGCACATGCAAATCAAAAGAGTATGGATTGTTCCACCCTTATTTAGCACATTTTAGCACAACACAAAGTGTTGTTCCTCACAAATTTGGAATTAGAAGCGGAGGGCCATGTTTCTTCAAGATTGTTGTTTTGTGTCATGTTTTTGGATGGCAGCTCTGGTGGCTCTTGGGTGTCGGCTCTTGGCTTCCCTGGCTCTTTGCGGCCCCAAAGGCATGGCGGCCGATTGCAAGCTCAAACCGACCCCAAATCGAATCGTAAAGCGACACACTGATTGATCCTAAGCCCACCTTCAGGGGACTGATTAGTAAAGGGCCGCCCCTTCATGGTCGACAAGGTTTGGACAAGCCCCGAACGCGTAAGTTTTTGTGGATGACCCCGCAATCAACCTGGAGCTTTGAAGACACAAGAACCTGGAGAACCTCTTCGGTTGCCTTCTTGGCCCCTTCTGGGCAGGTCTTTAAATGACAGTCGTTATTTTGTTTTGAGCCCAAAAGGGCCCTGATTAATCGTGGGTTGTGTTCTGTGAATGAGGGGGGGCGTCCAAGAAAGGTTCCCGTTTTTGAGCTGGACCACCTTGTCATTAAAAAGTACTAAACACTAATAAGCATGCGTTTTGGGGCGGGGGAGGACACTTTTTGGGAAACTTCGGCTTTAAGAGTGGCTTAGTATTGGTGGGTTTCAGCACAGACCAAGTAAATGCCAAGCAAAAACGAAAGCCCCTTTTCTGGCAGGTTGTTTGGCTTGGGGGCTGCGGGGGTTTGCCTATAATCCGGGCAAAAACAACCTTCAATCACGAGTGGGTTGCTAATCGCGCACTGGCATGTGACCCGACCCTAAACCAGCCCTTTGCCAACCCTTAAAACCACCCGAAAACCATGTTAATCCCCACCTCGACCTTTACCCATATTAAACAAAGCCTAAATCAACAGCCCGCTGATGACGCTAGAGGTGTCAAGGTGAGGCTAGTAGTCTTGATGATGAATGCATGCAACTTCAAAAAGGGATCTTGATACAAACCAGTCAGATTTGAGTTCCAGCTCATGAAGCATCCCAAGCATGGAGAGCAATTCAAGACATATCCAAATCTGAATTCATAAGGCTAGCTAATAAGGGGCTGCGACTCGATCTTCTGCAAGCGAGTGCTTGCATACCACATGTGGTTTGTTTGTTTGTTGCATGATGTTGCACGTTTGATCCAATTTGAGAAACACAGCCTCTAAATGCGAAGAAAGCGCCCCTTCAAAGATGTCCCATAGATATCCCACAACGGGTCAACAAGTCCCCTTTTACGAACAAACAGCCTTTTTCCTTCTAACAACAATGATCCTTGTTGGACAGGCTGTGCACTTCCATGTTTGTTGCTAGCCAGGCAGGCCCGTTTGTGAACAAGCAGCACCCGGCCTGATTTTTAGCCTCAGCCCTGAGTCCGCTCTATCCGAGCCAGGACGGTCATGCGGGGGCTGAAGGATCGTGTGAAGAAGCCCGTGAGCGTCAAGAGCGCCATGATCCGGCGCTTGGGCAAGTGGCGGCTGATGAAGGAGTTCGACATGCGGAAGCAGATCAACGACGATCCCATGAAGCCCGGCTGGTGGAAGCACAGGTCTGCAGCTAGCTGAGCCAAATGAGCCAATAGAACCGAATTGAATGGGCATAAATGGGTTGTTCTCATTTTCCTTGCGTCCCCTTTTTGAGACAGACCCATATACACGTCCATGACGTATTCTATGACCGGGCCCAACTTGTTTGGTTTCCTTTCAATTCACCTCAAGAGGCGCGCCTTCTTCCGAGTGGGCTTTGGCTTACTTGTTCAGGCAAATACACACACACATCAAAGAATCTCTCCCTTGGAGTCGAGCCTTGTCGTTCGCCATCCTTCCTTCTTGCCTTTGGCAGGCCAAGGGGCTTCTGGCAAAATGATATTTTCGTTTCGATGACTGTGTCGTTTTCTCTTTTTCCCGAAAGCATCGCGAAGGGTTCTTCCGTGCGGAGCCCTTGGACAAGTTACATAGAGCCAAGTTTCACAGAGCCAAGTTGCACAGAGCCAAGTTGCGCAGAGCCAAGTTGCACAGAGCCAAGTGGCACAGAGCCAAGTTGCACAGCGCCAAGTTGCACAGAGCCAAGTTGCACAGAGCCAAGTTGCACAAAGCCAAGTGGCACAGAGCCAAGTGGCACAGAGCCAAGTGGCACAGAGCCAAGTGGCACAGAGCCAAGTTGCACAGAGCCAAGTTGCACAGAGCCAGTTGCACAGAGCCAAGTTACATAGAGCCAAGTTGCACAGAGCCAAGTTGCACAGAGCCAAGTTACATAGAGCCAACTTGCACAGAGCCAAGTTGCACAGAGCCAAGTTGCACAGAGCCAAGCGGCACAGAGCCAAGTGGCACAGAGCCAAGTGGCGCAGAGCCAAGTCGTAGAGCTTCGGCGTAAGCAGCTATGTAAGTTAGTTTAGGTTTCTAAGGCCCCGTGGGAGTTTGATCATCGCTCGGGATTGCGACCCTCTGCGGAGATTCGCGTGGTCGAGGTTAAACAACTGTGGTTGTTTGACGATTTCTGCGGTGCGTGCGCGGCCCTCTGCGGAGATTCGCGTGGTCGAGGTTAAAAAACTGAGGACTTTTTACGATTCTTGCGGTGCGCACGCGACCCTCTGCGCAGATCGTGCGTGTCGACGCGCTCTCGCTGTGGCGCCGTGTGATTGCCTTGCTCGCGAAATGGCCTTTGGAAGTTGTCTCGCGGCTTGCGCGCTTGCTTTCGCAGCGGCAGCTCCGGCTGGAACATCGCAACTTTTAAGTATGAAAGTAGTAGGCGAAGTACACTTTCGCAGCTCGGAAAATCGTAACTTTTAAGTGCGAATACGCGAAGTACACTTGCGCAGCTCCGGCTGGAAAATCGCAACTTTGAAGTTCGAAAGCATTACGCGACATAAACTTTCGCAGCTCCGGCGGGAAATCGCAACTTCTAAGTACGAAAGTAGTACGCGAAGTAAACTTTCGCAGCTTCGGCTGGAATATCGCAACTTTTGAGTACCAAAGTAGCACGCGAAGTAAACTTTCGCAGCTCCGGCTGGAAAATCGCAACTTTTAAGTACAGAAGTGTTTCGCGAATAGAGGAAACTTGTTCAGAGCAACTTGCTGAGAGAACTTGCTTGGAGAACTTGCTCAGAGGAAATCGCGCCGACAACTTGCTCAGGGCAACTTGCACAGAGAACTTGCTTGGAGAACTTGTTTAGAGGAACTCGCGCCAACAACTTGCTCGGAGCACCTTGCACAGAGAACTTGCTTGGAGAACTTGTTTAGAGGAACTCGCGCCAACAACTTGCTCAGAGCACCTTGCACAGAGAACTTGCTTGGAGAACTTGTTTAGAGGAACTCGATTTGCTCAGATGCGCAACTGCACGGAGAACTTGCTAGGATTGCGAGGAGAACTTGCCGCCGCTGCTAATGCTTTCGGGCCACCCATCTTCTAGTGTTTAACATCGACAGTTTGAACAAGCGTCTCGTGGTTTTCTTCCGCAAGTTCCTGTGGATTCAAGCATCTTAACATCCACTTGTCTCCAAATGAAAATCCAGAGACTCCCCCCCAGACGCCCCACCAGACCCCCACCAGACCCCACCACCCCCACCCCAGGATGGCCACGCGCTGCGGCAAGAGCCAGGCAGAGCTCCTCGAGGACTTCAATGCGCCTTGGGCGGATTGAAGGTGTGCCGATTTGCACTTGCAACCTCCAATGACCCAACCGCCAGTTGGAGGTGAGATGTTTTTTGTTGGTTTTATGTGTTCTTGTTTTTGATTGTTGAATAAGACAGTATGAATGTATGTCTATAGGGGGGTTGATCAAAAGGTCCTGTATGGGATGGCCATCGGGGAAACTGAAAAATGATGAGGCTTCCCACTAAATCGAACATGTTACCCCATGGTCATTTGGGATCCATGAATATTGATCAACCCCCATATACACAAATTCATTGGGTATATACACATGTATTCAAAGAATCAACAGTCGTCTCGCAGCCCAACTCCATGTGTTTTGTCAGGGCTTGCTTCTTGACCGTTCGAGATAAAGTTGGATCCGGTACGCTCGCTTACAGGTAAGGCAGTCCGACGCGAAATTTCCTTTCCCTTGGTCCAAAGGCAAGCTCTCCTTTGGTTGGCCAGAAGTTGCGTGTTGTAACCCCGAAAGGGTCCTTAATTGGTGTCAAACTGTATAATTAGCCCCTTCATTTGCAGGGTGAACACCATTTAGACTTGTCCCTGGGCAAACTTGGCAGACACACAGTCGGATCCGTGTCCTGGCTCCCAGGTAGCATCAAACTACCTGAAGACCAGACTGGGCATTCTGTCCGCAAAGAAGTGCAGGATCAATGAGCGTCCAAAATTGGAGAAAGGACGCCGCGGTTTTGGCGTGTGAGAAGGAAACTAAAAAAAACAACCATGCACACAGGGAGGGTTCCATTCAGGCGCCCCCAAGAAATGCCTTCAGATGGTCTTCTTGCTAGTGGGAGGCTATGTATTTTCAGGGCCATGGTCAAGACACATTTCGGCCTCTCTAGGTGCGGGAACCTCCCCCAAAATGGGATGATGTCCCGCACCAGAACAACAGTGACTGCTTTGTGTGCCATACTCAGCATTGCAGATGCACATCTTTTGCCCAAAAGATCTTTGACTTTCCCTTATTTCCAGTTTCAAGCTGGCTTCAACACCTCAGAGGCTTCCATTTCAGCCAACAAACCTCCAAAGCCACAAGGACGTGACTCAGCGAGCCAATGAACACGAGCCCTTGAGGCCTGGACGACCAGAGCGCGGAGATTTGCATTTCCAAGGTGGCCACAGGGCTGAGCCTCGGACGTGCCCAACTTGGGGTTGGTTTGAACAGCAACCAACAAGAGGAAACCAATGGGTGAAGGAGTTCCCCTATTTTTTGACACACACCCATTTAAGCCACAATCATTCGTATATTTTTATTCTGTCTCCCTACATGGGGATTTAGTGAGTAACCACCCACCCGCCTACCCGCCCATCCACCATGAACGTCAAGTGTAATTTCATGAAGGGACATTCATTTGTTTCCGTATCTTTGTAGGGCAACCAAGAGGAACCCAACCACTTGCCGGCGGCGTTCCCAATTTCGAGACATATAGATTTGTGAACTTCTGGAAGTGTCGCACAAGGAATATGCAGCACTTGGGGAAGCCCGACATCCCCTCCAACGAGACCATGGACACGGTCATGGGTTGGCTCTCAGAGAACCTCGAGGTGAGTGAAGCGGATGGATCCCTGAAGCACATCATCGAGCAGCCGATCGGCCCTGATTTGTCTTGGGTCTCAGAGAAGGGAGTGACCCCTACAAGCTCTTTCTTGCAGTGATGTGAAAGGCCATCCAAGGGTCATTCCCAAAATCCCTCTTGATTCCCACTGAGAACCAGCAAGTTTTCTTTTGCAGGGGTGGACTTCCCCTGCAAGGCTAAGACGAGCTGGCTTCTTGGTTTCACTGACCTCCAAAGGGGTTCGTGCCCTTTGTCCGGGACAGCCCCCGCACAATGTTACCAAAGCCAAACGTCTTGAGCTCCCCTTCGGGTGTCTCAAAGTTAGAAACGTGTGTTTGTGCTTGTGCTTGTGCTTGTGCTTGTGCTTGTGTTTGTGTGTGTGTGTTTGTGTTTTTGTTTTTGTGTGTTTGTGTGTTTGTGTGTCTGTGTTTTTGTGTGTCTGTGTGTGTTTTTCTTGAGGATACCTGTGTTGAGGTTGGCTTAAAGGAACACAAAAAAAACACCCTTTTCCTCTCTCGTCCAAATCCTCTTTTTAGCATACCCACAACACGTCGGACGGCATATTCTGACCAAACAATTCGCGGCGACCGTGAGGTATCCCTTCGTTCTGGGCCGCAGCATCGACGATCTCGACGAATCTCAGAACTTCTGCCCTGAGGACATCGATTTCAAGGCGGGAGGCCGTCGCTTCCTCGGGTAGCCACGATCGAAAGTGGGGGAACCACCTCGAAAGTGGGTGGACATATAACGGGGCACCCATCAAAATTAACATCCGCGTGTTTGGCCCTGGCTGATGAGTCTGCGCAACTTATAACGAGCTTACTTGAGGGTAGAGCGAGCAAACAAGATGCTCCCTGCTTGGCGATTTCTCGTTTGGTATAATGCCATATGTGCATGATGAGGAAATACCCTCAATGACTTGGGAAACCAGCTGCAGGAAAATATGGCTATTGGCAAAATGTAGTCGTTTTGCTACTGGCCTCAGCGAGAGAAGAAGGACTTACAACTCGAGCAAGTGCATCACGAATGATGTCGATGAAGAAAACAAAACTAACCATGCAAACATTAGATTTGAACTATTCATGGAATGTTTATTTACCTGTGAGTGCGGCAGAGCCGGGGGACAGCATTTTCGGAACGAGCTCCCCATTAAATTATCCAGTGCATAAAGGCTTTTCCTGTTCCTTCTCCTCAAGCGCGTGCACGTGTGAAGTCAAATTAGCTAGTTGACTTGACTTGTTGGCTGGCTAATGTGCTGGTTAGGAAGAATTGCAGTTCGAGAGTAAGTTGATTAGCACGTTGGCTCATTCCACCTCCGGCTCAGTCTGCTGACATTGCATCTTCCATGAATGTCCCCTTCACGTGCCGCTCATGTCCCCAACATTTCCCCTTTTTTCTTTTCATTTCCCTGCATTTCTCCTCTTCATTTCCCTGCATTGCCCTTTCATTTCGCCTCCAACACTTCCCCTTCCAATTCTTCATTTCCCCTTCGTTTCCCTTTCATGTCCCCTTCGTCTCGCTGCATTTCCCTGCATTTCCCCCTCATTGCTCTTCATTCCCCGTTCATTTCTCTTTCATTTCTCTTCATTTCCCTTTCATTTCCCCGCCTTCAATTTCCCTTCATTTCCCCCTCATTGCTCTCCGTTTCCCTTCATGTCAATTCATTTCCTCTCCTTTCCCTTCCATTTCCCCTTTATTTTCTTTTCATTCACCCTTAATTTTCCTTAGTTCCCTTCTTTTCCCTTCGTTTCGCTGTCAATATAATTTGGCCTTAATTTCCCTCCATGTCCCTTCATTTCCCCTTCATTTCTCATTTCCCTGTCATGTCGTTTCATGTCCTCTTCATTTCCATTAGTTTCCTATGCAGGTCCCATTCATGACCCCTTCGTTTCCGTTTCATGTCCCCCTCATGTCCCTTCATTTCCCCCTCATTGCTCTTGATTGCCCTTTGATTCTCCTTCATTTATTGCTCTCCGTTTCACTTTCCTTTCATTTCCCTTCGTTTCCCCTTCGTTTCCCCTCCATTTCCCCTCGTAGGATTTGGGGGGGGGGGGGGTGGAGGGCAGGGAGCCGGTGTGGAAAAACCTCGGGTTGCATGCTCGAGTCCCTCTGCTGGCTCTTTGCCACCTCCGGCTCGAGTCTTCCGCCTCCAGGAAATGAAGGGGCAATGGACAATTGACGCGTCCCGGGCGGATTAGGGGGGGGGGCTTTATCCTCTGTCCTCTCTTAGGTATCCGACACGCCGAACAACAAACTAGCAGTCCGCGAACTAGTTAGCTAGTTGGCTTCCCAGGTGGCGGTTGCGGACGACCCCGCGCTCATCGACAAGACCTACAACTGCCAAGGGATTTGCGCGTCTCAGTGCGTCGCTTGCTGGTACAACGGCTAAGTATGGATCGGAACTCGGGGATTGAGAAGTGACAAACAGTTAGCACATGGAACCCCGCTTGTGGGTTCCCAATTTCTTGGTGCGGCATGACTGACATGGTTACTCACTCTTCCTGTTGCCCCCCCTTTTTGGTTGAAGCACCCCCCCCCCCATTTCATTTGTAGGAACCTTTTTAAGTGGCTCCCTCCACTGGGCAAGCCTTGCAGTTTTTCTTGAATGTTCTTTTGGAAGTGCCCAAGCCTGAAGAATCAAACCGGAGTTGGTGGGCTGCCTTTCACGAGCTCACTTGGTAGGATAAGCTCACCCAGGACCAAGGTTCTTTTCTTGAGGATTCCTTGTGTGAAATTTGTGAATCAGAGCAATTAGCCCTTACGGTAACTGATGAAAGAGAGAGCGGACGGCCCCTCAATCATCCATCACGATGCGTTGAGTTAAATGTCGGGTTTAATCCTGCTGACTGTGTGTGTGTGTGCGTTTGCCCGTTTTCCTTGTTGGAGTGTGACAGCGGGACTACCCTTTCTGAATTCACTTGCCCAATCCCACGGGAGACCAATTTTCCATTTGCCCTCGGAGCATGTGCAAAGCAGTGCCTTTCGGCGGGCAACAAAAGAGGCTGAGATGAGAAAAGCGCGGCCAGATGACAATGGGAATCAAGGAGAGGTAAAAATCGACCTAATGCCAAACGGCTAGAAGTTTCGAATGCTCGGTGCTTTGCAACTCACATTTTGACCGTAGGTGCATGGTGATTCTGGCGGCCCGACCTGGGTTCATGTAAGGCCTTCAAATCAACCAACCTGTTGAACGGTGGCCTTTTCTCTTCCTGCCCACAGGCCCTTTTTTGTTCTGAGAGTAAAAAGTGCCCGATTCGGTTCACCGTTTTTTGTTTTCTGGACGGCACAACTTGCAACCCGGGTTTTGGTGTTCCTTTGAGAAGAGCAGCCTCTCTGTAGAGAGTGGGGAGGCTGCGGGCAGAGCTATCTTGCTTGCCTTGGTTTGCTCACTGGAAAGGCTGGCAAACTTGTACCAAGGTCAGTGACTTTGGGGGTGCCTTAAAATAGAGATTCCTTGTAGCTGGGGCCAAGCCTGAAGTTGGAGAAAGTAGAAGTAAACAACTACACACAACAGTTATACGTCATACGTACAGACTGTCTATATATGTATACAAATTTGTCCATTGTATCAATATGTCCCTCCAAATCAACATGTCTCACTGCAGAAGATGGCGGGATGCATCTGAGGGGTTTGACGATACGGGCCTCTTTGAGCAATCCTTGGTGCACAGGAAGAGGCAGCAACGGTCCATGGGTTTGCGAAATTGGGACCCCTCTGTGGAAAGCCCAAAAGGGACTTCCAATCCTCTGGAAAATGTTGGAACTCCAACCCTCTATGTTGGAATAGGCTTTAGACTAGGTGCCCATTTTCCCATGGACATCAACTTCATCTCTGGAAGCATCCCTTTAAGCATACTAAGGTCCCCGTTAAGGTCTTTTGCGGGGTCTGAAAAGATCTGGAGGTGCTTTGAAAGGTCGGGCACTCTACGCCTCTACGCTGTGCGCTACTGTGTGGTGCGCTTGTTTGTTCTTCTTGGTGGCTTTTTTTTGTCTCGCGGAAACAACAATCACCGGATCTTTGAGAGGCCCATTGCCGATGTTTGGTTGCTTTGGCCACTGGTCACGTGCCGCCGCTGAGCAGAACAAGGGGTAAGAGTGCCCCTTTTGTGCCGCGGAGAATCCCGCAGCGGCCATGAAGATTGAGGAGGCTGGGGACGGAAAAAAAAGGATTGGGCAGCTCACTTCCTCAGTTCATGAACTTTAAACTTTTGGGATGACCATTTTTGTGATGAATAAGCAGTTCCGTTTTATTTGGCCAATCCACTCATGAAGTTCCACTCATGAAGTGAGGCAAAGTTTTGCAAACAACCCACCCCTGGTCCGCATTAAAAGCACAGGGAGCCAGGGTCAACAAATGTGGATTTGGCAAACTGTTGAAACAACCGACTGGTCGCCTTTGCAGGGGCAGCAAAGGAGGTTTCAATAGTGAGTGTTTATTTTTTTTCCGCAAACAACCCACCCCCGGTCCCATTTTAAAGAGGAAGCGAAAGGTTGGCCTTGAAAGTCCATTTGAAAGGTGGGCGTTAGCATCACCTGTTTGATTGCAAAGGATTTTGGGAAGGTCACGTTGTGCGGCTCGCCTTTTGGTGCTTTGACCCTTCCACGAACATGGAAGCTCACAGGTCTCGTTAAGAGGAAAATGGTTCCGCCTGGGGACAATGACTTTCGGGGCAAAAGAAAGCGGCCGACCCTCACCAGCATTATATTGTGTGTCATACCCCTTGATTCTAGACGAGCCGCCATGGTCTCCTGTCTGCCCTGTCTGTCCTGTCTGTCCTGTCCTGTCCTATCCTGTCCTGTTTGACGGTGTTTTTGTCTGTGGTGTCCGTCTGTCCGTCCTGTCCTGTCCTGTCCTGTTTGACGGTGATTTTCTTTGTGGTGTCCGTTTGTCGGTCCTGTCCTGTCCTGTTTGACGGCCTGTCGGTCCGTCTGTCTGTCGTCTGGCTGGTTGTTTGTGTGATTGTTTGTTGTTTGTTTGTTTACTTGTGTTCTTGTCTTGGTCTGCGTGTTCGTTGGTCCGTTGCCTCCTCCGGCTGTGTGTTGCGGTTTGTTTGTTTCATGTGGAGTGCTCATACCCTGGATCCTTCGGCTGTTCCTCAGACTGGCACGCATTTGATTGGATATTGGTGGTATGTTGGCTGGCAGACAGCAATCAACCAACCAGCCAGCCAGCCAGCCTGCCGCCCGCCCGCCCAACCGCCCACCAACCCACCCACCCACCGACCCAGCAAGGAAGCAAGCAAGCAAGCAAGCAAGCAAGCAAGCAAGCAAGCAAGCAAGCAAGCAAGCAAGCAAGCAAGCAAGCAAGCAAGCAAGCAAGCAAGCAAGCAAGCAAGCAAGCAAGCAAGCAAGCAAGCAAGCAAGCAAGCAAGCAAGCAAGCAAGCAAGCAAGCAAGCAAGCAAGCAAGCAAGCAAGCAAGCAAGCAAGCAAGCAAGCAAGCAAGCAAGCAAGCAAGCAAGCAAGCAAGCAAGCAAGCAATCACACACAACGCACACACACACAAACATCACACACACACACACACCACACACCACACACACACACACACCACACCACACAGCACACACAACACACACACAATACACACACAAAACACACAGACACACAACACACCACACACACACGCACACAACACACACAACACACAACACGCAACACCACTCACCACTCACCACTCACCACTCACCACACAACACACAACACACAACACACACACACACACACGCAACACAACACACAACACGCGACACACAACACACAACACACAACACACAACACACAACACACACACACACACAAAACACAACACACGGCACACGACACACAACACACAACACACAACACACAACACAACACACAACACACAACACAAACAACACACAACACACAACACACAGCACGCAACACACACACAACACACACACACACACTACACACACAAGCCAACGATCAACATACGTGCATGCATGCATGCATGCATACATAATTACTGACAAACGCACAATCCTGGGGCACCCAGCGATAGTTCAGTTGCTTATATTGCAGAGTAGAGGATTCCAACCTTGAGGTTCCGTTGGTAACATGGTCGAGTGAGTACTGGAAGCACTGGTGCAGTTTGCTTGCCAGCTGTCTTAGAATCAACAGGCAGACGCGTCCAATACTGTCTCGCACTGCATGGCTTTCGGTGAGTTGTCCAAAGGAAGCCACCTTATAGAGGAAACATATGTGGCCCTCCTACAAGCCTAGAATTTGTTCCTCGTATCCCCCAACTCAGCAGATTTAGTTGCCCCTGTAGTAGGTTGCCGGGATGTACTGGGTAAGCTGGCAAACGGATATGCTTGCTCCCGACCGTCCGGTCGCAAAACGGCAGGTTCAGTCGACGACCAAGACCCAGCGCATTGCGACCCACAGCCATATCAAAGGCTTGGGGCTGGCAGAGGACCGCCTTACCAGTGCCATCGATTTTTGTTTAAACGGACATCTAGGCCGGCTTGGCGGTTTGCTGGAGGTAGGCTCACTCCTTCGATTCCGACTTCTTGTTCCTCGTTTTGAGGGAACCCTGACAAGACTGGATACTTGAAAGAAGGGCCAGAAAAGCTTAAACTCGCATTGTCACGCATTGTTGAAGGAGGCAGCAGGCGGATTGTGGAAAAGATCGGACTTCTCTGGACGACTCACACAGAGCGCCACATGAAGGGTTCTGTTCATACGGAAGCTAGCTCTTTTTTTTTTGGCTGGTGGTTCACAGGAACCACAAAGGACACCAGCTATTTGTGGTCGTCTCCAAGAATAGATTGAGGCAGTGTTGCGGGGAAACCAAGTGGAACCAAGCCTTTTTTGGGGTTGCATTGGAAGTTCGAGGGTGCATTGGTCCCTCAATCCATCGGCAGGATGGATCTGCTCTGCCAGTGGGCGCAGGGCTGGTGGGGCGTGGGCCTCAACATCAAGTTGCATCAGTCAGCGGGGTTGTTGCCAGCGGGTTGGTTGTGACATGCGCTTAAGCAACCAACCCCGATTCGGTCCCCTGTGAAGAGCAAACAGGGGTTATTCAATCAATAGCAACAAGAGTGGTTCAATCAACAGTGGCTGTTGCACTGAGGGCCGAACTAAGTAGAATGGGGTTGTGGAGGATGTTAGGACAACTCAATTCATGTTTAGAAGGTAATGATGTGTGTAGTTGGTGAGCCCTGATATTACCATGTTCCTTTCTGGGACAATGCCAAGAGCGGAATTGGAAATATGAACCTTTTTGGGTTCACTTGAAAAGGAACGCCAAGCATTTGGACCGGAACACCGCACAGCCTATCGTAGCTTCCTCTTGGAGATATGCAAAGGTAGAAGAGGCATATTCCCGCAACCCTGATTTTGCGAGTTGCTACGGTCCGAAC